CTGGTGGGAGGGCGCGAAGGAGGAAAACAACCTTAGTGCCCCCCTGGGCTCAGTCTGTGCCCTTCCCCTTTCTCACACAGTGGTGCCTGACACCAGCATGGCATGTTCAAGGGCTTTCTGCCTCCATGAGAGCCCCCAGCTGCTGAGCTCGCAGCTCGCTCCTAGGAAAAGCTGCTGCAAGACTGACTGAAAGAAGCCGCAAGAACAACCTCCTCCAGCAGCAGCCCCTAGTGCTCCAGTAACGCTCCGGCGAGCCGAAGGGCCACGTGTCCCTCTCGGTTACCCCTCGGCATGAGTAGGGTCTGTGACGGGTTGGATCACAGAAACCCCCTTGGGAGCTGCCACCCGATGTGCCAAGACTACCCCTGCTTCTGTTTTCCCTGCCAGCTCAGGACTCCAGCACCCCGTCTTGCTGAGCGAGACACTCCAGTCTGGCTCCAGACACAGACTCAGGGTCTGAATCACTTGTCCCCAAGCTGCAAGTTTACCCAAAAACAGCTCACAGGAGTGTGCTTGTCTTTAGCACTCAGATGCCCAACTCCCAATGGGGTCTAAACCCAGATAAATCCGTTTTACCCTGCATAAAGCTTATGCAGGGCAAACTCATAAATTGTTCGCCCTCTATAACACTGATAGAGAGATATGCACAGCTGTTTGCTCCCCCAGGTATTAATACATACTCTGAGTAAATTACTAAATAAAAAGTGATTTTATTAAATACAGACAGTAGGATTTAAGTGGTTCCAAGTAGTAACAGACAGAACAAAGTAAGTCACAAGCAAAATAAAATAAAATGCGCAAATCTATGCCTAATCAAACTAAATACAGATAATCTCACCCTCAGAGATGCTTCAGTAAGTTTTTCTCAGACTGGACACCTTCCAGGCCTGGGCACAATTCTTTCCCCTGGTACAGCTTTTGTTCCAGCTTAGGTGTTAGCTAGGGGCTTCTCCATGATGGCTCCTCTCCCCTCTCTCTTCTCTTCCACCCCTTTATATATCTTTTGCATAAGGCGGGAACCCTTTGTCTCTCTGGGTTTCCACCCCCCCTCACTGGAAAAGCACCAGGTTAAAGATGGATTCCAGTTCAGGTGACATGATCACATGTCACTGCAAGACTTCATTACTCACTTGCCAGCACACACATATACAGGGAGACTCACAGGTAAACAGCCATCTGCAGACAATGGGAGTCATTAAGATTCCAAACCATCATTAATGGCCCACACTTTACATAATTACAATAGGCCCTCAGAGTTACATTTTATATTTCTAGTTTTAGATACAAGAGTGGTACATTTATACAAATCAGATGAACATACTCAGTAGATTATGCACTTTGTAATGATACCTTACAAGAGACCTTTTGCACGAAGCATATCCCAGTTGCATTATAGTCACTTATCAATTTTTTATAAAACTATCCCAGTTACATTATATTCACTTATTATCATGTTTTTATAAAACCATATAGACTGCACAACGTCACAGGGTCACGCTGATGTAACTAACGGAGGGGAATTTGGCCTGTTGTGTTTTGGGCCATTACAGCAGAATACTGGGCAGAGATGTCTTCTAGTGATTGGAGCAGGACTCCTGGGTTCTAGTCCAGCTTGAGCCTCTCTCTAAAATAAGGATGGAGCCTGTTTGGGAATCAGGTGGATAAATAGATCCCCCTATCTTCCTGGCAGTGTTAGCACCACGAGTGCTTGGAGCGCAGTGACCAGCTGGCATCCTTTCTGAGCTCTGACAAGTCCCTGGATGGCTTTCTGCTGACATGGAGTGGCTTTGCTTTCAGGGAAGCCCAAGGGAGCCTGTTGCTAATTAGAGACACAGCTAACGAAGCAGAAGGAAACAAACAGCAGGAGCTTGTGTTTTGAGAAAGCTCTCTAACCATTTGGAAAACAAACAAAAGGGGGAACCTTACATTTGAAAGCAATCCAAACACTGCCAAGCCCCAGAAAGACACCGGGGAGAGCTCCAGCAGTGGGATTTAGCACTGAAAGGAAAAAAGGATCTCCAGGTTTAATGAGACATGCCAGGATCTCTCTCAATCCCCAGTGCGTGTCTGCTTATCCATTAGCTTTTCATTTTTCTTTCTCCAGATAAACATTCTTGTTAAACTTTTCTGTAGGGGGCAGCAGGTGTGGAAATCGGAGCTGCCATCTTCTGCTCCCGTACCCCCTGGGACTTACAAAGACGTTTATTTCACTTTAAAGGATGTGGCCAACGGAATCTTCATCTTTTGAAAAACCTTTTTTTTTGGGTGGGGAGGGGTTAAAAACGGGACGTTTGTAACTGAAATCTCGTTTCTTTCTATGTTGTTTTGGTTTGATCTCTATCACGCCCTGCTTTGTTACTGTAGGGTTGCTCACAAGAGTCGGGCAGCAAAAAAATAAACACATGTGAACAAAATTGTATGGACTTTGCAAACAGATAGTTCTGGTGGACAGGTCCATTGTTTGGGCCAGTCGCTTTAACGAGAGACGGGTGATCTGAGTACAGGACCAGGAACTCCTCCTAATTCCAGCCATGACTCCCTTTGTGACCTTGAACCATCTCACTGAGGCCCTGATCCTGCAATGACTCTGCATGCACAGAGTTCCCCCTGGACAGAGCTCATTGCAGGGGCCTTAATCTCTTTCCTTGTCTATAAAGGAAAGTGTATTTTTGCTTGCCTTATTGAAGTGTTTGGAGGAAAGGTTGGGCCTGTTTAGAGTGGAGAAGAGAAGGCTGAGGGGGGATATAACAGTCTTCAAATATGTAAAAGGTTGTTATAAAGAGGACGGTGATCAACTGTTCTCCATGTCCACTGAGGGTAGGACAATAAGTAACTGGCTTAGGTTGCAGTAACAGAGATTTAGGTTATGTATTAGAAAAACTTTCTGACTCTGGAGTGGTTAAGCACCAGAACAAGTTACCTAGGGAGGTGGTGGAATCCCTGTCATTGGAGGTTTTTAAGAGCAGGCTAGACAAACACCTGTCAGGGATGGTTCTTAATCCTGCATCAGCATAGGGGCATGGACTACATGAGCTCTCAAGGTCCCTTCCAGCACGACATTTCTATGATTGGCTAAGGTTTGCAAAGTGCTTAGGATACGAAACATGGTGGTGATGCCACGTTTCGCAACAGTTGGTGTTTTTCTTAATGCCCCAACTCCTATAATCATGTATGTAAAGAGGTGAGAATGCCAGCTGTCATTTAAAAAAGGAATTTCTGGCCCTCATGGTTGCAGAGAAAAGCTGGAAAACCAAGACCCTCTAGGGGCCTCAGAACCCAAAGGCAAATTAAAAAACACCCCAACTATTATTTTTAAGCCAATCTCATGCTTTTGGGGCCTGACGTGTGATGTTGGATGCTTGGAGTTGGCAATAATGCATATACGCAGGAAATATTATTTTTAGTAGTGCCTGATGGGAATCTTTGCAAGCTGTTTTGTCTGGGTTGTTTTTGAAATCTGCTGTTGGTGTCTATTTTCTGCCTTTCTTTTGGAGGGAGAACAGTCTGGAGGTTAAGGCGTGAGCTGGGAATTGGCTTCTATTCTTGCTCTGCCAAAGACTTCCTGAAAGACCTTCTTGCTACCCTGCTGTGATCAGAGTCTATAGCAAAACTCCCATTGAACTCCGAGGGAGCAGGAACAGGCCCTGAACTGCTACACGGCAGCTGTAAAATGAGATGAAAGATACTTTCCTGTTTCCCTGGGACCACGGGCGCTGACTTTTGTTTTTGCCGGTGGGTGCTCCTTTCCACCCCCTCCACCCCTGTGCAAGTGGTGGGCGGGACCTCAGGGGGAAGAGAGGGAGCAGGGGTGGAGCCTCAGGGTGGAGCACGGGCAGGAGGGAGGGAAGAGGCTGAGCGGGGTGCAGTGGTGGGCGGGGCCACGGTTTGGGTGCCAGGGCTCACATAAATTTAATCTGGCCCTGCGGGTGCTGAGCACCCCCCAGAGCACCCACAGAGTCAATGCCTATGCCTGGGACATTGTGAGGCTTAGTTCATGCAGGTTTTGAAAGTACTTTGGAACTCCTTGGATAGAAAGGACTGTCAAAGCACAAGGTGTTCATGTTCTGCCCACTTGCCCTCAGACGGGATCTTAGTTTCTCAAGAGTTCATCTGGTTTTGCTGCTTTTATCCCTGTTTGAAGCCACCTAATGCTTTGCTTTTGTCACTGGAGTTTGTTGTTGTCAAAGGGCTGTTCCGAGGATGACTGTGGCCAAAGGACTCCCACTGATTTCAGCGAGCTTTGAGTCAGGCCTCGAATACTTATCAGGATGTAAAAAGCCAAAATGAAACACAGGGTTACAATGGCCTCAGGCAAGGAACAAGCAGCAGGAGCAGATCAACTCTTTAAGAAGCTAAAACCATTAGTGCTTTTGAGAGGAGAGGCAACTACATGATCTACTGCAGAAGCAGCATATATTCCATGAAGCTTCAATTGCTGTTTATGAGCCCCAGGTAAGCATTTTGCTGATGAGTTACTGCAGAAAACCCAGCATCCCACAAAACTGTACTTAAGGCTGACATCTAATGAAAATGTTTAGTCCAGTTGGCACGCTCAGGCTGAGGGCCATTGCAGATGGCATCAGGTTTCTTTAACTTACTCCGAGCTTGAAAATGTGTCCTTGATTTCAGCCTCCAGGAACGTGGGCCTGGACTGCTTTGCCGTCTAATGGATCTTTTATTTGATCTGCTCATCCAAACACGCTGGGCATGTGCTTGGGTCACTTAGAGAAAGCTGAACCCCGCTCATGTTCTTACAGTGTAATCCCTTCATATTGATGTCTATATTGCAGCAGGTAACAAAATCCATGCAGATTCATGCCAGCAGCTGATCATCCCACACAAGCACGGTTCATCTGGTGAGCTCTTTCCAGCATTAGGACTGCTTTGCCTAATCGCTTACTGCAGAAGTATGAAATGCATAAATATGTCAGAATATAAATACTGCCTTGCCGCAGTTGTTCGTACATCGCGAACAGATGCAGCAGGAGACAGCAGTGTGGTTGAATCTCTGTAGGTTTAACTCGTGAATCAAAATCCGCAGGGACATCTTTGCTGGCTCAGGCCAGACAATGTGCAGGGTACTTTTCAAGCCAGTCGCCGAGCAACGGTATTTAGGAAAATAAAGGTAGGAAAATCATTGCTAATCTACATTATGATTGGACTGTTGCAAACCAATTGTTGTTTGCAAAATGCAAGGGGCCTGATCAAGCTCCCACTGAAATCAACGGGGAGTCTTTCCACTGATCGAAATGGAACTTGGATTGGGCCCTGAATGCACTTAAGTCCATTTCACAGGTTAATTTGTATTTGCCAAAGCTCTCTGGGGCAAGGGCTGTCTTGTTAGCTGTGTTTGTACAGCACGTAGCAGGATGGAGAACCAGACCTCACTGGAGCTGTTGGGCATTAACTTATGTGTATATTTATTAATAAAAATAATGAATGATTGAAGACATTGGTGGGGTATAGACTGGAGGTAGGAGAGGACTGTTCATCCCAGAAGTTGGTGCTGTTTGAGGCAGATTTCTAAACGTGAAACATCCTGAGATGATTGTAAATGATTGTTGTGTCTTTGATTAGTGGCAGCCTGTGGGCCAAGCTTCCGCCTAATGGGAACCGAAGTGGTGGAGATATTAATCCCAGGAAAAAAGGACTTTCTAGTGAAAACCCTCGGGGACCCTTCCATCAAGGTGAGTGATTGGGAGGTGGTATGTTCTAGTAAATGGTGCTTGCTGGATTGTAAACAGCTGCAGTTTCTAGGGAGTAATTTTCGATTGAGCTGCTAAACCATGCCCACAAATTTAGCAAGCGCAGATGTTTGCCCTGCCAAAATGATTACAGTTGCACATGTTCTCTGCACACACAATAGATGTGCAACAAAGTATGAAGGTGCAACTGACCCTAGGACATTCATGAAAATGTGTCTTCTGAGGTCACTGCATCTTGTTACCCCCATCAAGAATGTGGAGAGACATTGTCAGGTTCATCCTACTTGAATCCTGAATCAGGCAGTTCTTCTAATTATCCACAGCTTGTGTCTGATAATCACGGGGCATCTCTGACGCAAGGCCTCATAGGCATCCTTGTGCCAAGCCCTGAGACTTCTAAAGACAGAGCTCCCACTTAATCGCTTGCCAGAGGTTTTTGGTAACATCCCTTTCCCATTCTATGCCATCAGATAGGATTCTAAACAGGGTTTTGATCCAGGGTCGCTGTGACCTGGACTGCAAACCTGAATACATCTGTGTGTCCCCAGGATATCTGAGATCTGATCCCAGAGGCATCTTCACACCTCCCCCTAAACGACAGCAGAATATCTGTGCTGTTTGCTGAGTTAAAACACACAGGGTTGGGGTGTGCTTGCACCAGTAGATCACAAAGGATCCCTTAGCACAGTGTTTTCCAAACTTGGGACGCCGCTTGTGTAGGGAAAGCCCCTGGCGGGCCGGGCCGGTTTGTTTACCTGCCGTGTCCGCAGATCCGGCCGATCGCGGCTCCCACTGGCTGTGGTTCGCTGCTCCAGGCCAATGGGAGCTGCGGGAAGTGGCGGCCAGCATGTCCCTGTCTTAGCAGGTACTGAATGAGCTATGTGTAATACCAGCTGCTTTCCAGAACCGTTACTCCCATTGCAAAGTCCCATGACATTCTCTTTTAAATTGTGGCGTTTGTTGGGACAAGACGGACTGAGAGGTGAGTTATGTGTCAAGCCAAAATGATGGTGCCTAAAGGCATCAAAATCCAATATGTGCTGGAAAAGCCTCTGTACCTGGCTTCTATGGCTGGTTATTAGAGCACTCTATTGTAAGATGATGTATAGCGATTTAGGTATTGGTAGGTTAATTTACTAATTTTTTATCATAATCCTATGGGGGCCATTTGCAAAATATGGGTCCTGGTTCTGATTTTATATCTCTCCGAAGTTTGGGGGTGCTAGAATCTGTGTTCTGGTTTGGCCCATCTCTGGGTATCATTCAACTGGAATTCTTTCTTTTCAAAGAGCCTGGGGAGAGGATTCATGGCTTTTGAGGCCAGATGATCATGTAGTCTGACCTCCTGTATAACACAGGCCATAGAATTTCACCCAGTGATTCCTCCATTGAGCCCATAACATCTGGCTGACCTAGAGCATATCTAGAGACATCCAGTCTTGATCTACAGACTCCGGGTGACAGAGAACCCACCACATTCCTTGGCAAAAGGAGATTATTCCAGGTTTTTAGCTGATTGGTTATGCCACTTCTTCTCTGCTTAACAATAGAATATAGAAAAACTGGAGCAGCCCATCATTTTTTTTGGTCCACATGAAGCAATGTGTAAATATGCACCAGTGACTTTGCATGTGCAGATTTTGCACACTGCCCTCTGCAGCTGAAGTTACTTTGAACAGATTGGGGGAAGTTAGAGGCCTAACGCTGTAAGCAATGACCCGGTTTACGTGTGCACAGCCAAGTCTTTGCAGATTTGAAGACTCTCACTCATAAAATCACAGGCATAATTTAGAAGCTGCTTTTCAACATTTGGCAGGCCAGCCCCCAGCTATTTCCCCCCAATGTATTCTCGCGTCAATAGTGGGTGTCACAGATCGCTGCGCTTTAAACGGCCGCTGTATGAAATGTTCTGGATGTCCTAGTGGGGTGGAGTGAGTCAGAGCTGACTGGAAACAAAATTCACTTGGTGGATTTTCTCCCAGAGGGGAGCTAGTAATTCCTGGTAAAGATCAAAACCAACTACAATTGGGTTGGTTTTGGCTGGCACATTGCTTTGCACTAAAAATCTCCCCTGGGAACAGTTGTAAGCTTAAACTCCAGAAGGCCTTTGCTTTGCATTGGGGGGAGGGGGCCTTTCACGTGTTGTTTGCACTCTTGAGAATTAATTATGGCAGATGCTCTGTGCATGATATTCCACCTGGGCACAGCGGGAACTGAAGTGTGCCACCATGTGAGAAAGACTTTGGTTGGAATCCCAGACTTAGTCTCTTATCTTCCCAAGGCAGATGCAGATCAGAAATTCCAGGGAGAAGATGGCTCTGACCACTCCAGGGGAGTTTTGTGAGTGGCTCTCAAAAGCAGTAGGTGCCTGACAGCACAGAATGTGAGTGACCTTCTTGTGTGAAGGTATAACTCCTCCTTCAGCGAGCCAGGCACTTCCTGATGGTGATCACAATCCAGATGTCCTTCGTATGGGACCAGCCGCACAGCGATCAAGCAAAGTACATGTTACCAGGACAATTGGTGTAGAAAGAATAGCAAAGACTCCAGAGTCTGGAGCACACTGGGAGGGTGACCAAAAACCAGGAACAGCTTTGAGGTGTTCTCTCTGTGTGTGTGTGTGTGTGTGTGTGTGTGTGTGTGTGTGTGTGTGTGT